AACAATTGTTTCCTAATTAGCCAAAGTATTCCATATAACGGTAAACATTTAGGGGGGGACCCAAAATTGCAATTTGACATTCATGTTCCATGTCTATTCTTGTGCTTGTCTGCTGCTAAAAATGGTACTACAACATGGCATTTATTTTCTGGGGTGTCATTTGCTTTGGTTGTAACAGCTGTATAAAGGTGATGTATTGGAGGTCAGCCAGTTTATATTTGAACTTCAGTTGCTGCAACAAAGCCTTTGTACATGAGTAGCCCCTTTTTTTTTTGAAAGGGGAGTTACCATGGGGGGCCCTGGCAATATAATGACCTGAACATTAAGATATAAACATGGTCTCATAACTTTGTGTCCAGGCCCATTGGGTTTTTTGACTGGAGACTGAATTCTAATAGAGTACCCAGACCTCTACTAGGGTAGTCAATATGTTTTAGAAGTACAATTTGATGGTTTACAAAGTCCTGAGTTGTTACTTTAGCTTATCAAATCTATTCACTCCAGGGGGGGGGGGGGGGGCAAGAGCTACAACGAGCCGTTTAGTGGAGAGAGTGAATACTGCTGAATACACATACTTTACAAAGATGCTGTATGCGAAACCAATGTGAGTTTGGAAAATTGCACAGTATAAATCTATTTTAGTATACCTCAACAATGGAATTATGATCAGTGGAAATGGCCATGACACCTCTCCTTTAAGTGCTTTGACAAAAAATCCATTTCATCTGTGGAAGCCGTAATACTGTAAAAAGCACGACCAATCATTTTAGCCGGCCCGGCTAAAATAACTGGATGGCCTACCTGCCTGTCAGCCTTCCATCTGTGCACAACTTATCTCGTGCCCTCATTGGTCATGTGCGCGTTCGTGTGTGTTGGAGGAGGGGCTCTATAAGGAAGTGGCAGATTTTCTCCGGTTGTGTATTTTCAAATTCTAGCGATCTCGAGCCGGTTTCTCAAACTTACCTACCCTACCTTTAAGTGGTAGTTTTGATTTGTTGTGTTTTCAGAAGTGTCCCTGATTTTAGTTATTTTTTATTCTCTAGACATCTAAGGACTCTGTGATCTACTCAAACAAGCTGATAATCTTACTAGTGAAGTAAACAGATATGGTTCTAAACTGTATTGAAGTAAACATGTATTATTTTGAATTGTATTTTAGTGAACATGTATTGTTTGAACTGTTTTAAGTAATCACATGTATACATATTGTATTCTCACTTACAACTCACTGACCCAGAGATCCTGTTACACACACATACACCTCCTCCCACCAGCACACACACACACACATATTCTTTTCAAGGTTCTTTCTGGGCATCATTATACCTGTGCACAATGTTTGGTTGTCTGGGAAAGAATAGTTTGTGTGAAATATTCCATGGGAAAGTAAGGGAGTGAATATCGGTGCAGAGATAAGATTGACTCTGCCGTTGTGAACTTCCGAATCTCAGAAGAAAACATACTTTTTCTCAGAGCTCTGATTCGCTGTGTTGGACCCGACCAGAAGTGAATCCAACCAGTAAAAACACCTGGGGGAGTGAGCAGCTCACACAGCTCCTCCACACGGACTCTCTGATTCGCTTCGGAGTAAAATGGGAAGGAAGAAGTCAACAAATCTCCGCCCCAAAATATGAATATGAATACTGTTGTTTATGCATGTAAAATGCTTCCTGTTTGCTGACTGGCTGGTCCCGATACCTGTATCGCACAGCAGTAGAAACCTGAAGTCCGGAGTACTCTGTAAAACTTGTATACGTGTTTTGTTTCTTACCAGTAAAATCAGATTATTGTTATAACCTTTAATTCCGGTGTTTTGAATTCCTTTCTTTATTAACTAGAACCAGCCTCATCTAACGAACGGCGGGTAGCGGAGGGGGGGGGGCTTTAAAGCCACCACCAAGGTGTTTGCTACAACAAATGGTGACCTGCGACGTGATGAGTGCTGATCTCTAGAAAGGAACACCGACAGCCAGCGGACGGAATTCAGTCCAGGGGAGGACACCGAGATACCGTTGACAACTACACCAAGCGCACGATATACAAAAGGTGAGCAGACACCTGTTTTGACTATCAAAAATCTGTGATTGATTATACTACAACATTTTAGAGTTGTCAGCGGCGTTCTCAGTGTTCTTAGTCACGGTAGGAAATACAATACATATTCTAGTTGGGAAAGTGCTTAGAGTCAGGTAGAGCATTCCTGTACCTAAGGCACAAAGTGTTTGTAAGAGGCGGGTAGTGCCTTAACTCACTAGAGAAAGACTGCAAGTACGTAAAAAACAGATGGGTTAAAATCCCCGTAAGTCAAGTAAAGATTGATTAATACGGTTGGCTTGTTAGTGCTTTAATGAAGACTACGAGGGCGTAAAAAACAGATGGGTTAAAGTCCCCGTAAGTCAAGTACAGACTATGCGGTTGTCTCGTAGATGAAAGGTTGTTATAAAGAACTTCCTATTGAATAACAATCGAATGGGCAATCCCTCTTTGAAAATTGCTAGAATTGTTATATTGTGGGTGATACGAGAGGAGAGAGACGCGACCTCCAACTAACCATTTGGAACGACCGAATCTCATCACAACTCTTGCTGTGGGGTTAATCAGGCTCATTAAACGTTACGATAAAGAGATTTTGTTGACTGGGTTCCGACTCCTTGCCTGAAGCCGCAATCGCCGTAAGGGGGTTGTAGAAGCTTGCTTCAGGAAGTCACGCTATCTGTTGAAATATACATCGCACAATAAAAATCTGCCTGCCTGTATGGGGATAAAATGTGTGTAAAACTGCAAACATAATTTAAGAACACCACTCTGTACACAGTACATACTTAGAAAAGAAGTAGTACACAGAGATAGAATTCATATAGTACGAAGTCTGTATAAGGGAATAAACTCTGTGTGATTTTTTAAGTCAAATCTGTGTAATAATTGAGAGAAAAGCATAGATAGGAAAGTTGTGTGGGCGAGTGTGCGGAGCTCCACCAGAGAGGGGAAGCTCATTCGTGGTCAGCTGCTGCCCTCTGGTGGCGAACAGGGTGTGTAACAATATTTGACAAGAATTGTCCAGTATATTAAATAAATACAAACAAACACATATCAACATAGTCAGATAATATAAACGAGGTCAATCATGGAAGGAGATTTTGAAAAAAATGATTAGCGTTCCAATCTCCGGAAGCTTCCGCGAGCAACTGGTCAGGTGCTACCATCTGGTGGCCAATAGGGTGTGGCACAAAACAAACAGAGACTAATGGTAAATTAAGATTTGGCTCCATCTGCTGGACATATGATATATAAGTAATAATAATATATAATATATAACTGATATATAAGGCTCGATATTTCTGAAAATGAGAACACCGTTAACGGCATTCTATTTCAGAAAAAGGGGGGATGTAGATCAGGCAATATGTATGTGAGATTATTACGTTTTTAAGAGAAATTGATAAATTTAAAATAATCTAGTTTTGGTTCTTTTTTGTTTTGTTTTGTTTTGTTTGTTTCTTTTTTGTTCGGTTTTGTTTTATTTCTTTTGTTTATTGTTTTCTGCATAGTCTTTTGTCCACACTCCAGTCTAGTTGGTGGCGGAAATGCACCTACAAGTTGGCTTGCCAACCCCCAATAAACACTAAAGAAGTAGAAGAGATGAGTTCAAAACCATATTTCCAGCAACTTAAGGGCTTGGTATGAGACTTCTCCACACAGGTTGCTGATGCCAAAGGGGGACCCGAGAAACACGAGGCCAACACAGCAGAGTTTGTCTGGCTGAAAGTCATCAGGCCTAAGTGACTCAACCCCAGGTTTTCCGGCCCCTACCGAGTGACCCAAAGGACCTCCCATGCCGTCCGCCTAGAAGGAAAGGGAGACAACTGGTAGCACTGGAGCCAGTGTGCGGTCGGGAAAACACCTGCGAGGACCCTAGACGACATCAGGACAGATCTGGCCCTCGTCAAGGAAGTCGACCCAGGAGGCGCCATCAGCGGACCGGAGGAGGAGGATCGGGACATCTCTCCAGCATCGACCCGGAAGCCACCATCAGCGTGCCGGAGGAGGAGGATCGGGACATCTCTCCAGCATCGACCCGGAAGCCGCCATCAGCGGGCCGGAGGAGGAGGATCGGGACATCTCTCCAGCATCGACCCGGAAGCCGCCATCAGCGGGCCGGAGGAGGAGGATCGGGACATCTCTCCAGCATCGACCCGGAAGCCGCCATCAGCGGGCCGGAGGAGGAGAATCCAGAAGACATCTCTCTAGCAGGCAGCCCAGAAGCCGCCGTCATCGGGCTGGGGGGACAAATACACGGCAAACCAAGACGGCACAGGGAACTCCACTTCCCGCTGAAACAGGTTGATATAGCCGGTGTGGAACTTTGTTTTAACAATCCATTTTTTGAGGAACTCTGAACTTTGTTTTTATATCCCATTGTTTAAGGGATTTGCATATTGTTTGCCCATTGTTTAAGGGATTTGTTTATTTTTATTCTACAGAACTATGTGTTAAAGGTTCCAGGAAATGTTGAAGGGTTCTTTTGGGGCAGACTACTGACATATGTGGGGACCCACATTTACCATTAAAAACCTATCGCTTAAAATCAATCACTAACCAAGGTGGGAGTAACTCCTGTTTTACTTTCCAAATAGGCCCTTTTATCATTACTCAACATCTGGACGAGGGTAGATGTCTATTTAAATACTCCTCGTACTCAAGAGGGTTTTGGCATATCTGGGTCTCAATCTCCCTCAGGGGGCACGTTTTGTATTCTGGGAAACCAAGGTACGATCGCATTGACCATTGGTAATATACGGTTTAAAGATACCAGAAGAATTGGAGCTAACAGCATAATTATGTACGGGCACTGGAGAATGGTAGCAGGCCTGGGCCTCCTACTTACCATTATGGTAACGATAATTTTCATTGTCTGTAAAACTAATGATGTTCTTTCTCCAACTCTCGCCCCAGAGGAAGAGATAGTAAGGACCAAAAGAGGGACTAGAGTAGCGAGCCTTATGTCCCCAAAAAGAACCTTCACTCTCCAAGAAGGTAGCGACGGAATAGTGGACATAGATCTGTGCGCAATCGCCCCATGTTCCAACTCTGACAAATCATACTCAGGTCTCGCTAAATATGTCTGCCTCACCCCAACAGTCTTCTAATTTCTGTGGCTACTTTTATTGCCATTTTAGTGACATGTGGTTGTTGTTGTGTGCCTTGTATCCGCTCATTGTCTGTTAGACTCATCAGTTCCACCATTGAGGGAAAAGCTGCCCCTTCCCCTTCGTACCAAATGCCCTTGTTGGCTTATGCGTCGGAGGGGGAAGAGTACGATGACTCAGCCGACAAGGACGAACTTTTTTAAACATATTTTAGTCTCCCTCCACTGTCATAAGAAGTTGTTGTAGTGGACTGTTCCTACAGGTTTAAAGTGCTCTAAATCCCAGCTTCTGATGGATTTATATAAATGTTGGGACAGACACAGTAGAAAAGAATGACAGTGGTTATATTTCAAATGCTATATGTTGATCTCGTGAGGTGAGATCAAAAGAGGGATTGAAGTAAACAGATATGGTTCTAAACTGTATTGAAGTAAACATGTATTATTTTGAATTGTATTTTAGTGAACATGTATTGTTTGAACTGTTTTAAGTAATCACATGTATACATATTGTATTCTCACTTACAACTCACTGACCCAGAGATCCTGTTACACACACATACACCTCCTCCCACCAGCACACACACACATATTCTTTTCAAGGTTCTTTCTGGGCATCATTATATCTGTGCACAATGTTTGGTTGTCTGGGAAAGAATAGTTTGTGTGAAATATTCCATGGGAAAGTAAGGGAGTGAATATTGGTGCAGAGATAAGATTGACTCTGCCGTTGTGAACTTCCGAATCTCAGAAGAAAACATACTTTTTCTCAGAGCTCTGATTCGCTGTGTTGGACCCGACCAGAAGTGAATCCAACCAGTAAAAACACCTGGGGGAGTGAGCAGCTCACACAGCTCCTCCCCACGGACTCTCTGATTCGCTTCGGAGTAAAATGGGAAGGAAGAAGTTAACACATCTCCGCCCCAAAATATGAATATGAATACTGTTGTTTATGCATGTAAAATGCTTCTTGTTTGCTGACTGGCTGGTCCCGATACCTGTATCGCACAGCAGTAGAAACCTGAAGTCCGTAGTACTCTGTAAAACTTGTATACGTGTTTTGTTTCTTACCAGTAAAATCAGATTATTGTTATAACCTTTAATTCCGGTGTTTTGAATTCCTTTCTTTATTAAATAGAACCAACCTCATCTAACGAATGGCGCGTAGCGGAGGGGGGGGGCTTTAAAGCCACCACCAAGGTGTTTGCTACAACACTAGCTGCCGGGCAACATGGCATTAAAAGAACGACCCATGCTGTTATTCTTGTTTCCTGTCACTATAAGAGGTGATGTGTTTTTATTGTGTTGTGCAGAGAATCTTTTTTGTGACTTCTTCTTCTCGACTGACTTTGTTACCTTTCCGGGACAGGACAAAGTTTGATGGCAGTCACTCGCAGCAGCAGCCCCTCTCTCTTCCTGCTGTGTATTCAACAGGTGCTTTCTCTCTAAAGCTGATGACCGGTATGTGAGACCTATTCAGTGTTTCATTGAAGGTTTTTTTTTAAGTGTGCATGTAGTATGTGGTGGATGAAGTAGTCACACGCTTTACCTCAAGGACCAGCGTGTAGGATATAGTGGCATCGAGCAGTGATGTTGCAGATTTTAACGGAAAACCCCTCCCCTCTCAATTTCCAGGCACGTTGGAGAACTGGAGTTTTTTTTAAATATATCATTTATGTATCTTTTTAAAGGAATCGCCCACTAAAGACAATGTGTACATTAATTCCTTACGTTGAATTCTCAAATAAAACATAAACAGTGTAGTATTCTTTTTTTAGTAGACTACACTACTGGATAAATGGGTCTTTGATTTTCCTGCACAAGTTTTGTAACACATTGTCAATGGATGTTTTGCTTTTCTTAAATGCGACCACCATTTGAATTAGAAAAAAACCCACCTGTCATTGTTTAATACAAAATGAACATTTATATGTGAAGTATTCCTTATTTATAAGTTAGAGCATTTTTTTAACCAATAAAGAAACACTCAATCACAGTTTCAAAACTCATTACAGAATCACCAAATTCAAAGTTACATGGTTAAATATAATTGATTATACATTGAAATCTACCTAACTTTATGAGTTAAGTCAGGCAATTTTTTGGCGGAAAACAATATATAACTGAGTATAAGCAGAAACACAGAAATATGTTGACTTCAATTACGGTAAGTGACGCTTGTGTTTAATTGTAGAGGACTGGACAGGAGAGACGCTCACCAGTGTCTTCTACACCGGAGACCTCCTGCCCCTCGAGGCCTCTTACAGCAGTCCTGATGCGGGACACAGACGCCTGTTTATCGACGGCTGTGTCGCCGCTTTGTCTCCTGACCCGAGATCAGTCCCCAGATACTACTTTATCGAAAACCATGGGTAAGAGAAGCTCAGAATACAGTATGATACTGATAATTGGCTCTTAAATTGCATTCAAATTTAATTTGTTTCGTCAGGTGCTTCAATGATGCCAAAGAGGACGGATCAAATGCACTTGTCAATCCCAGAACAAGATCTTCTTCTCTTCAGCTGCAGCTCGATGCCTTCCTGTTTCCCCAGGACACAAGGAACTCAGTGAGCCACTTCTATAACCTGAATGATTTTGTCATGTTTGGAAATGCTTCGAAGTTGTATAATGACATTTCTTTGGTCTCTCTTAAACAGCGTCCAGTAGTTTCTGGAGTCTCTTGTTCTCTTCTTTGGAAAGAGACAGCTCCTCCTCGTACTCTGCTATCGTTTTTTCAAACAAAGCAAATATATCTTCAGCAGCAGCAGTGAGTCGCTGCTTCTTCAACAACAGCAGCATTTGAACTTATTAGATTTGTATCACTTGCCAGCTGAAAGCGACCTCTGAAATGCGGAAGAGCAGCCCCGTCAACAAGGCCTGCAATTATATAAATTCAAGGTGCTTTTATTACTTATTTTGTGAATTGTTGCTCCTTACTGTAATATTGCAAAAGGTTTGTCAGTGTATCATTTACAAAGGCTCATCATGATAACAATTCTTTATAAGCTAAAACTGGTTCAAATTGTTGCTATTAATATTTCTTGCTACTTAAAGTGGACCTATCATGCTATATTTAAATGATATATTGTAGGGCCATACCTATATAAGGTATATTTATACGTTTCTGTTTTCAAAATACCAAACAGATCATGCATTTTAGCCATGCCTCATTTCACTCTATTTGCTGTTCTCCAGCACTGTTTTTGCAGGGGGCTGATTCTGTGAGCTGCAGCTGACCACGCCCCCCTGCAGGAGAGGGGAGCTGTGCTCTGATGAAGTCAGAAGAGGGGGAGAAAAATAGACCTCCGTCCTCCGTGTTTTATTATATTATTATAGGCCTATAGAGTCGTTATTCATTTGTTTTAAAGCTCAATAAATAACAAAGAAGACCTTTGACCGGCACTTTTCTAATTTTGTCCGGAAGATTTAAACTTTAACGGACATCTTGACCTGCGAAAGAAACTGAAACTGAAACTCTGCCGCCCGGTCCCCTCGTTCCTTGGACGAGGCGGAGAGGTGGGTGTTTGTCATCTGCTGGTGGACTAACCGGAGAGAATTACAGTGCTTGCCTCGACGGGGAGGGATTGCATTGAATTAAAGCAGCGAGAGCAAACGCTTGCCTCGGGGAGGGAGAAAAAAAGCCACAGCGGAGAATAAACAGAAGGGTAACCATGCGCAGGAAGTCTTCTTCGCTGCTTTTGTGGCAGACTACAGCGCCACTTACAGGCCTGGCATATGTACTACAGCGTCTCCAGCGCTTTCGAGTGGCCGGCCGTGGCCCAACCCCACATTCCCCTGATAGGTGGAGAGTTGGCCCAATAGCCGTAGCGCCACTTTCCTGACGTCAGTAAAGTGTTCAAATCTGGATCAGTTTTTATCAGATCCGTTGCAGCCCCTTTTTTAGAGATTTGGGTATGGAGGAAAATAGAGAGGGTTGTGTTTTCTGACACTTGGTGAGTTCCCTGGAACACCGGGGACACATATTCATGTATAAAAGACGTACAAAAGTGCATTTTGCATGATAGGTCCCCTTTAAGTAATCAAGTTACTTAATTAAGGAAACATATATTTGTAATGAGGTCTAACGTTTGCTGTAAATATAAGTGTAAATACTTTCTAAAATGAATTTTCCATGCTGTCTCTGTACAGCCAGATCAATGTAACCGTGATGCTTACCTCAGCATTTGGACTGAAACAGTACACATGTGAGAGGAATGTGCTAAATGTAAGCTTTAAGAATATTTTAGAATGTTGACGCTGCCCATGGAGTATATGTATACAAATAAATGGCTATTATTTCAACATTGGATTTGGGTGTAAATGCCCTCAACTCAAAGCTAAAGGAAAACAATGATTGTTTCCGTATACTAATCATCAGATGGATAAATGTCGATGGCAGTGATGATGTGTGTCGATGTTGCGACGATACATGCTCCAGCAACTCTCCCACCGGTCAAAGAAACCTTGGAAGTCTGATCCCTGAAGGTAAACTGTAAATCCTACAGTTGTATAACTTTCATAATCTGTGATCTGTCTGTGAAAACTGTCCCAACTAAATATTATTTGACTCTCACTTTCATTTTTATTCATGTTTCAGATTTGGTGGCACATGAAACTGTTACTCTGGGCCCTTTGATAGTTTTGCCATACAAATAGGCGAAGCATAACAATCCAGACACGTATCAGTGTTTGAAAGAGGAAAATAAAATGTGAATTTCTCTTACCTTCAAAAAGCTGAATGAAAATAAGAATGCATGCCAAGCTCGTCTTCATGGCCTTTTCAGTTATGAACTCACTAATAAATACTAAAGCTGACTCACATTGTACTCTTTCCTTCAGTCTTTGTGAGGTTTTGTGGACAGCCTCACTTTATTCATTGTTCTTCACCTCTGAGCAGGAAGGGGAAATCAAAGCAAGAACAGCCGTTGAAACGCTGCAGTTGGTTTTGCACACACTGATGTTTAACTGAATTTGAAATAAAACTCAGGATGTTATGCATCAGACTTTAAAACTTGTATCCACTGGATTAACACCACTAATGTGTACAGTTACGCAAACAAACCCTTCTCAAAAAGTTGTTCTCAGTATTTGTTAGAAATATAAACATTTCTCCCCACGAAGTACTTTATATATAACACTTTTTTATAGTATCCTAGTAAGTCTTCTTATAGCGATCCTGTTATTGATATTATCAAGTGAGAAAAGAATATATAATATCACTTTCATGATGTACGCCGGATATGTCTGGTGTCTGCAAGATGAGTGTGAAAGTGCAGGTCAGGAGGAGAGTCATCAGCAGCAAAGGGGTGGATATATATTAAAAGTTATTGTCCTGTAAACATGTACGCCGGCACAGTCCGATTCAGAAGCTCTCATAAATAATAATAAATATATATTTTTAAAGCTTTTTTTTTTCTTCAAAAAAAGTGCTATTCACATACAAGACAATACAATGTGTCCAAATATAAAGGAGATAATAATAGGAAAGAGTGAAAGAGGTTAGGTCAATAACCCTTGATAAGAATGGGTTCGCCCGATATGTCAGTGGTTAGAGCTGGCAGCCCATATGCAGTCACCGCTGCCTAGTAAACCAGTTTGAATCCTGAACCAGCCGAACATTTCTGGCATGTCCTCCCCTCTGTCTCCCCCTTTCATCTCTAACATCTCCAATAACGGCCCTCTGGACCAAAAATAACTAAAAAGTATGAACGGAAAAAACAAAATGGATCAATCTAAAATGAAATATTTAGAGTACAGGGTGAACCTCTGAAATGGATAATTAAGATTATAGTTTTGAACTTTATATGTTGTAAGTCATTTTAAATTAGTTGGGATGATTTTAAGTATTTGGAGGCATTTTCAATACTTTCTTAGTTTGAACTGCATGGATTGATTTTTACATGACATGTCTTATGTTTCAAACATATACTGTAGATCAAATTGTATTTATGTAGCTCAAAATCACAAGCTTTTCAATTTTTATTTGATTTGATTTGATTTAGTCTGTACAGATCAACAAAACATGAATAATAGTTTAAAAACATAATAAAATGACACCATAGACCACAATAATAATGTGATAGTGTGTACAAATTAAGGATCCAGGGGGATGTCAAAATGCTTCCTGCATGGTTTTCATGAACTGCAACACTAACATTTTATTTAAAATCCAAAGTAACAAGCAATGAAACAAATATATGCATATTTTAAACATGTGAAAACGCCCTCTCTCTCAATCAGCCTCATGTCTTGAGTTCAGAGTGTGCAGCCAATTAAGCTGATGGGTGTCTGATTGGACGCAGGTGTGCTGCTCTGATGAGGATAATGATCGGCTAGAGTTTAAAAAGCTCCACCGCTCACACTGAACCATACTGTGAGTCAGTCAGGAAGACAGAGAGCAGCCGACCAGTTTCCTGCCATCAGTTTCACTTATGGAGGCCTTTAATTTTCAGGTTATCCTCCTTGTAGGACTCTGTGTAAGCTCCTCTTTTGCTTTCCCGCCCACACACGATGCTTCATTCCAGAGCCTTGCGAACACAGGCAGGTCAGAACTCGGGCAGCAGCAGCAGAAGTCTCCGGCTGAGGAACCGCAGCAGGTGAATACCATCAGAGTGACCTGTCATCCAGACTCTTTGGAGATTGTTATCAAAGCCGACATGTTTGCGGTTGGAGTTCCTGTTGATGGAGACGAGATACGCCTTGGAGTAGAGAACAACAACCAGTACTGCAGAGCTACAGCGTCTTCAGCAGATGAGTACAGTATCAGTGTTGGACTTGTGGAGTGCGGCACCAGACACTGGGTAACTTTTAAATATATTTCATTTCAAATATGTTTCATCATAGCTTCTAGTTTTAAACACGTCTACTCTCCACAGGTAACTGAGGACTCTCTGATCTACACAAACCTCCTCATATACTCTCCTGAGGCTTCTCCATATGGTGTTGTTCGAATGGAGGAGGCTGTAATTCCAATTGAATGTCATTACGAAAGGTCTTTGTCTCTTTTTGTTTTTAAAGCTCACATTGTAAAAATCTTTGAATGATGTCTGTCTTTTTTTTTTTAAATGCATGTTTTCTGTTTCTTAGGAAGTACAGTTTGTCCAGTTCTTCACTCATGCCTTCCTGGATCCCCTTCATGTCGACCCAGGCTGCAGTGGAAATGTTGGAGTTTAACTTGAGAATCATGACAAGTGGGTTTTGGTAATTTTCTCATGTTATGAGTTGTCATGTCTCTATTTGCACTTAGTACTTTTTTCTGTCCGTGTGCAGGTGACTGGCAGTACAAAAGAAGCTCTAATGTGTTTCATCTCGGTGAGCCCATCAGCATCGAGGCTTCGGTCAGACTTGGGCATCACATGGGGCTCCGAGTGTTTGTGAGCAGCTGCGTGGCTACTCTGAGCCCTGACATGCACTCCAGCCCCAGGCATGCCTTCATTGAAAATGGGTAAGGCTGCAAATTGCTAAATGGCAAAAAGTAAAGTCTTTTTCTGACCCTAGAGGGAGCTGTTTAATGTGTAAGGCTCTTCAAGTGGTTTAATTCAGACACGAGCAATGCTGACTCGAGTGACCGGTTAATAAAAGATCAGTCCTTTAGTGGCGTCTTCAAGTTAGCCATTAGCTAAGGCTAGCTGTGGTTTGCTTTTAATCTTTGGTATTCTAGTTCTTCCTTTCTGTGCCACTATTGGCAAATGCACAGGTCAGATTTGTGCAGTTCTGACTCTAAATAACTACTTCCAGAACTTGCCTATATGACTAGAAATGTTAGTGGTGCATTGTGGGTAATGTAGACTCTGGTTATAGTAGTCAATGAGTGCTAATTTAGTGTTGCTCTTTTTGTTTTTCCTCATAGGTGCTTTGTTGACTCTCAGCTTCCAGGCTCAAGGTCTCAATTCTTAGCCAGGACACAGGATGACAAGCTCCACATGTCCATTGATGCCTTCAGATTTTATAATGAGGACAGAGGGGAGGTGAGGCTCTATTCAATTGCCTTAAACATGATTGTGTGTGCATGTTTCTAACACCTGCTTTTCTCATAGCTCTACATCACATGTCACCTGAATGCTGTGGCAATAAATAACGCAGATGCACCAAACAAGGCGTGCACTTTTGTGAATGGAAGGCAAGTGAGATCCAGCCTAAAATATTTCAAATTACACACAAAAAACAAAGTATTGATGCTGAATGTTTTTTTTATTCATCAGATGGAGGTCCGCTGATGGTAATGACTACTTATGTGGGCAATGCAAAAGACCAATTGGAGTTGAGCAAACTCCCAGTAAGCCCAGCAGCCCGAGCAAGTTTAGGCCTCGAGGGTTTGTGAAGCCAGAAGAGCGTGAACCCCTCTGGAGGAGCGGACTGAAGACCAGTCCAGGTGGGGAGCTTGTAGAAACTTGTATGATGAATATTGGCTGCAGATGTCGTCTTAATGATCAATTGTTTGTGACGCATGTTTTTGCATAGGTTTTAGACATGATGATGGCTGGGTAACTGAATTAACATGCATTGTGCTGGTTTGTGTTAGTGTGGGAACATCAGGCCAGAGTGGGTCCGATGATGGTCTTGCCAGCCAAGCAGAAAAGCCAGCCCATACCTGCAGAGGAGCGTTCTTCCATTCTTGATCAAATCGGCAGATCTACAATGTATGGCAGCCAGTGGAGGAGTGGAATAAACGGAGTTGGTAAGTCAATACCGGTATTCAATTATTCTTTGTTCATTTGAAGCCTTTAACAATCTCTAAATTGAGATTAAAATGACCCATAATGAAATCTTAATGTTGAATTGTTTATCTGTCAAAGATCAGAGGAAAGGACTGCTTCCTGATTCATCATCGACCCAAAACCAGGTGGACTTTCTGACTTTAGCTTCTGAGCAGAATGAAGACAAAAGTGGAACAGAAAAAGGTAAAATGTGAAAAGTCTTAACCCTTTTTTAAATGGCACTCTACAATGCACCTTTTACATTAACACATTTATTCTGCGACTACAGATGAAGATGCAGAGGAAATTCCTGAACTTCTAGAAGAAACCTCTCCTGAGGCCCACCTGCAGTTGAAGGCAGTAGTGCTGAACAGTACCAACACAGCGGCGCTCGATGAAGTCTTCCAAACTGCTGCGGTTAATGTGGCTGTGCCCCCACTGTCCAACACCACTGCAACAGAATCTGACCTTTCTGAAACAATGGACTCAAAGAGATAATAAATGATTCAAAATTGTATTTGTTTGCTTTTTAATGTTGCAATACACAAGGAAAACTGATGACCTGCTCACAGCTAAAAACAATTAAATGCAAACAGAATTGTTTCCTAATTAGCCAAAGTATTCCATATAACGGTAAACATTTAGTGGGGACCCACAATTGCAATTTGACATCCATGTTCCATGTCTTTTCTTGTGCTTGTCTGCTGCTAAAAATGGTACTATAACATGGCATTTATTTTCTGGGGTGTCATTTGCTTTAGTTGCAACAGCTGTATAAAGGTGATGTATTGGAGGTCAGCCAGTTTATATTTGAACTTCAGTTGTTGCAACAAAGCCTTTGTACATGAGTAGCCCCTTTTAAAAGGGGAGTTACCATGGGGGCCCTGGCAATATAATGACCTGAACATTAAGATATAAACATGGTCTCATGACTTTGTGTCCAGGCCCATTGGGTTTTTTGACTGTAGACTGAATTCTAATAGGGTACCCAGACCTCTACTAGGGTAGTCAATATGTTTTAGAGGTACAATTTGATGGTTTACAAAGTCCTGAGTTGTTACTTTAGATTAGCAAATCTATTCACTCCTGTTTTTGGGGACTGATTAAAAAAAAAAAAAGTGACAAAAAGAATTTTTAGATAAGTATAGTTAGATGCCATTATTTCAAGGCATCTGGGAAAAAAACTGAAGCAAGACTTTAAAATATTGGCTCAACGCAATGGTAGCCATGACATCACACATTTGTTTTTAGACTAAAAGGCCGTGTGGAAGATGAAACGTCCTGGGATGTTTTTTGTTCCCTGCAACAAAGTGCCTGTTGGGACTCAAAGCCAGGAACCAGTGAAGCTGTAAATGTGTCAATTTTTGTTTCACTTTACAGTGGACTGGAACTGAATCATACTCGTATACCACATTAAAACCTACATGCAAAAAAGTAAACTGATGTTGAATCAAATAAAATGGGGCTGCATTTTAAATTGCTCTCCATTAACTGTAGTATATAATATTTCAACATTGATTGATGCATAAGGAAGGAAGCATCAGTGTAACTACTAGATGTAAACCCACATGTCAGGTGTGGGCCAATCACATGCAGGTATTTCGGTGTGACTGCAGCTTTAATTCTCATCAGTTAATGAGTAATTGCTTCCAGCTGTCCTCTCCATGTGATTAGTCTGCACTGGGAAGTATTTGACATTGAGAGTTTGAACCTTCAGCATCTTATTTAAATTCAGTATGATTCAGATTTCCTAAATGATCACTTGTTTTACTGGTAGTGTTGTGTTTGCTTTGCTGTTCTGATAAAAGAGCACAATGGTGACGGCAGCTCAGCCAGCCTCTGTAGCACTGCTGTCACTTTTTGCTTTTGGTTTTGCAGACGCCATTCGAACTTTGAGAGATGGACCAATGATCGATGCTCAAGGAAGGGAATATAAAACTGCTGCATTAGGGTTTGACACAGAAAGTCAAATCAGTGAACCACTATTCAATGAGGGATCCACTATCAGTGTACAATGCACAGAAGTGTCCATAATCATTGCGGTAAAGGCTGACTTCTTTAAAAATGGACGCCTTTTGTCTCCATGGGATTTTCTTTTGGGAGAAGTCAAGCATTCACAGAGCAGTCAGTGTCGACCTGTTGCTGCTGGTGACTTTGAATATGTATTTGAAGCTGGACTACAAGACTGTGGCTCCAAAGTGACTGTAAGTTGTTGATGATTAATAGAAGATGGTGGATATATAACTGTGGTTGCTTAAGTGGTAGTTTTGATTTGTTGTGTTTTCAGAAGTGTCCCTGATTTTAGTTATTTTGTATTCTCTAGACATCTAAGGACTCTGTGATCTACTCAAACAAGCTGATAATCTTACTAGCTGCCGGGCAACATGGCATTAAAATAACGACCCATGCTGTTGTTCCCGTTTCCTGTCACTATAAGAGGTGAGATGTTTTTATTGTGTTGTGCAGGGAATCTTTTTTGTGTCTTCTCGACTGACTTTGTTACCTTTCCGGGACAGGACAAAGTTTGATGGCAGTCACTCGCAGCAGCAGCCCCTCTCTCTTCCTGCTGTGTATTCAACAGGTGCTTTCTCTCTAAAGCTGATGACCGGTATGTGAGACCTATTCAGTGTTTCATTGAAGGTTTTTTTTAAGTGTGCATGTAGTATGTGGTGGATGAAGTAGTCACACACTTTACCTCAAGGACCAGTGTGTAGGATATGTGGCATCGAGCAGTGATGTTGCAGATTTTAATTTCCAGGAATGTTGGAGAACTGGAGTTTTTTTTAAATATATAATTTATGCATCTTTTTAAAGGAATCACCCACTAAAGACAATGCGTACATTAAAGGTAGGGTATGTAAGTTTGAGAAACCGGCTCGAGATCGCTAGAATTTGAAAATACACGACCGGAGAAAATCTGCCACTTCCTTACAGAGCCCCTCCTCCAAACACACGAAAGCGCACATGACGAATGAGGGCACGAGATAAGTTTGTGCACAGATGGAAGGCGGACAGGCAGGTAGGCCATCCAGTTATTTTAGCCGGGCCGGCTAAAATGATTGGTCGTGCTTTTTACAGTACTACGGCTTCCAGAGATGACATTTGTTTATGGATTTTTTTTTGTCAAAGCACTTAAGATATTCATTGCTATCGGGATGTTAAGAGCATTCCATGGAATATAACAAAAAGTGTATCTCGAGCCGGTTTTTCAAACTTACATACCCCACCTTTAATTCCTTACGTTGAATTCTCAAATAATACATAAACAGTGTATTTTTTTTTTTTAGTAGACTACACTACTGAATAAATGGGTCTTTGATTTTCCTGCACAAGTTTTGTAACACATTGTCAATGGATGTTTTGCTTTTCTTAAAGGTAGGGTTGGTAAGTTTGAGAAACTGGCTTGAGATACACTTTTTGTTATATTCCATGGAATGCTCTTAACATCCCGATAGCAATGAATATCTGAAGTGCTTTGACAAAAAATCCATAAAAAAATGTCATCTGTGGAAGCCGTAGTACTGTAAAAAGCACGACCATTCATTTTAGCCGGCTCGGCTAAAATAACTGGATGGCCTACCTGCCTGTCAGCCTTCCATCTGTGCACAAACTTATCTCGTGCCCTCATTGGTCATGTTCGTGTGTGTTGGAGGAGGGGCTCTGTAAGGAAGTGGCAGATTTTTTTCTGGCTGTGTACTTTCAAATTCTAGCGCACTCGAGCTGGTTTCTCCAAAATTACCTACCCCACCTTTAATATTTCTTGCTGCTTAAGTAATCAAGTTACTTAATTAAGGAAACATGTAAATATAAGGATAAATACTTTCTAAAATGAATTTTCCATGCTGTCTCTGGACAGCCAGATCAATGCAACAGTGATGCTTACCTCAGCATTTGGACTGAAACAGTACACATGTGAGAGGAATGTGCTAAATGTCAGCTTTAAGAATATTTTAGAATATTGACGCTGCCCATGGAGTATATGTATACAAATGGCTATTATTTCAACATTGGATTTGGGTGTAAATGCCCTCAACTCAAAGCTAAAGGAAAACAATGATTGTTTCTGTATACTAATCATCAGATGGATAAATGTCGATGGCAGTGATGATGTGTGTCGATGTTGCGACGATACATGCTCGAGCAACTCTCCCACCGGTCAAACAAACCTCGGAAGTCTGATCCCTGAAGGTAAACTGTAAATCCTACAGTTTTATAACTTTCATAATCTGTGATCTGTCTGTGAAAACTGTCCCAACTAAATATGATTTGACTCTCACTTTCATTTTTATTCATGTTTCAGATTTGGTGGCACGTGAAACTGTTACTCTGGGCCCTTTGATGGTTTTGCCATACAAATAGGCGAAGCATAACAATCCAGACAATAAAGGATTAAATATTTGTCTATCAATCTCACCCTCCCTGACCAAACTTCAGCGTAATACTTATAGCTTAATACTAGCAAAACTATTATTTTAATGATTGTTTAGTAAGGAATGTTTATACAACATAAACATTAAAGAAACAATGATGTTTAGTCTTTACTGTTAATACCTAACATGGCTCTAAACAAAGCCACACAACTGGTCTGATGAAACATCCCCGTAAATAAAAACAGATTACACTGTATGAACATTAAATGTTGCTGTCAGGATAGACACGTATCAGTGTTTGAAAGAGGAAAATAAAATGTGAATTTCTCTTACCTTCAAAAAGCTGAATGAAAATAAGAATGCATGCCAAGCTCGTCTTCATGGCCTTTTCAGTTATGAACTCACTAATAAATACTAAAGCTGGCTCACATTGTACTCTTTCCTTCAGTCTTTGTGAGGTTTTGTGGACAGCCTCACTTTATTTATTGTTCTTCACCTCTGAGCAGGAAGGGGAAATCAAAGCAAGAACAGCCGTTGAAACGCTGCAGTTGGTTTTGCACACACTGATGTTTAACTGAATTTGAAATAAAACTCAGGATGTTATGCATCAGACTTTAAAACTTGTATCCACTGGATTAACACCACTAATGTGTACAGTTACACAAACAAACCCTTCTCAAAACGTTTTTCTCAGTATTTCTTAGCAATATAAACATTGCTCCCCATGAAGTACTTTATATATAACACTTTTTTATAGTATCCTAGTAAGTCTTCTTATAGCGATCCTGTTATTGATATTATCAAGTGAGAAAAGAAGATATATCACTTTCATGATGTATCACCGGATATGTCTGGTGTCTGCAAGATGAGTGTGAAAGTGCAGGTCAGGAGGAGAGTCATCAGCAGCAAAGGTGTGGATATATATTAGTTATTGTCCTGTAAGCATGTACGCCGGCACAGTCCGATTCAGAAGCTCTCATAAATAATAAATATATATTTTTATTTTAAAAAAGTGCTATTCACATACAGTACAAGACAATACAATGTGTCCAAATATAAAGGAGATAATAATAGGAAAGAGTGAAAGGGTCAATAACCCTTGATAAGAATGGGTTCGCCCGATATGTCAGTGGTTAGAGCCGGCAGCCCATATGCAGTCACCGCTGCCTAGTAAACCAGTTTGAATCCTGAACCAGCCGAACATTTCTGGCATGTCCTCCCCTCTGTCTCCCCCTTTCAACTCTAACATCTCCAATAACGGCCCTCTGGACCAAAAAAAACTAAAAAGTATGAACGGAAAAACAAAATGGATCAATCTAAAATAACATAAAATATTTAGGCAACAGTACAGGGTGAACCTCTGAAATGGATAATTAAGAATATAGTTTTGAACTTTATATGTTGTAAGTCATTTTAAATTAGTTGGGATGATTTTAAGTATTTGGAGGTTTTTTCAATATTTTCTTTGTTTGAACTGCATGGATTGATTTTTACATGACATGTCTTATGTTTCAAAAATATAGATCAAATTGTATTTATGTAGCTCAAAATCACAAGTTTTACATTTTTATTTGATTTGATTTGATTTAGTCTGTACCAGTGACGTGCGGTGAGGTTCATGGCTGGTGAGGCACTGACTCACTGAGTCAGATTTACAAATATTATATTTTGACCTTAATCGAAATATTCTGTTATTTTCAAAAGCTTTTTTAGTCTGATGCTTCGATTCATTTTAAACAGACCGTTCAACAAAAGGATACCCAAAATCTAAATATTGGATTGTTCTTTCTTAGTAAGATCCCATTTTCATTACAAATGTGGTCTTACCTTGACTTGAAGATGAAGTCCATGCTATCCTTCTGGACAACAATCTCTATTACTTTTTTGTAAAAGTCCTCCTTATCTTCCAGTAGTTTCAAAAGTCTAGTTTGTTGTTACGTCTACCGTCTCTGCGTAGAATTACAGTAGCAACAAGAACCTGTGGGCTCACGTGCGCCCCCTTCAGTGCGGCAGAGGTTATGGCTGCCTCCCCTGGTGCATTTTCATTGCCGTTGAGACCAGCGAGCCTAAATATCATATATACGTGAAATAAGTTATTTAGAGACTATGGATGGCGAGGATAAATGTAATAAAGGGATCTACATACATTACATTGGTGACCTACAGTGAGATGGTAACAGGCATGTGCTTAGGGCCCGCTTTCCAGCCAGTTTCTGTGGGGTGACGCATTCTGAGGTGAGGCAGATCTCATCTGTGCCTCACCTCACCCCACAGTAACTGGCTTGAGCGCGCTCACAAAATAAGTGCCCGCGCTAAATTAGTGCCCGTGCTCCAGCAAGTTACTGTGGGCTTACGAGAGGCAGAGCACGTGCCTGCCTCACTTGTCATCGCTCCCGTAGCGGAGCTCGGCAAATTTGCTGATTTTGACTATAAAAAGCGATTAGAATCATACATAAATCACACTTACAACACAGATCAGTGGAGACATTTTATTATTATTACTATTTCGTTTTTCTTTAGTTGTTTTTCCGTTACATTGGAGTATGACAGGTGAGGCTCTGCCTCCCCTGCCTCCACTGACTGCACGTCGCTGGTCTGTACAGATCAACAAAACATGAATGATAGTTTAAAAACATAATAAAATGACACCATAGACCACAATAATAATGTGATAGTGTGTACAAATTAAGGATCCAGGGGGATGTCAAAATGCTTCCTGCATGGTTTTCATGAACTGCAACACTAACATGTTATTTAAAATCCAAAGTAACAAGCAATGAAACAAATATATGCACATTTTAAACATGTGAAAACACCCTCTCTCTCCATCAGCCTCATGCCAGTAGCTTTGCCGATATCTGTGTTGATAGGTAATAGATTAAGAGCTGTAAATCAGCTTAGAAACAGGAAGTGCTCAAACGTTTGTGTGAGGTTATCAAATTTAGCAGTGATTCCATGTCAGCCACAGCTTGTCACAATTTTTTTTACTGATAGTGTATTTAACAAACTTAAACTAGCTTTATTAAATGTCAGGTCTTTGGCAGGAAAAACATTTTTAATCAATGATTTTATCACTGAGCACAATCTCGATTTTATGTTTTTAACGGAAACTTGGATTGAACAAAATAACAGTGCAGCTGTTCTTATCGAATCAACCCCTCCCAACTTTAGTTTTATGAGTCAGGAAAGAATGCATAAGAAAGGAGGTGGAGTTGCTATTTTGTTCAATGATTCCATTCAATGCAGGAAGACATCTTATGGGGACTTTGCTTCTTTTGAATATGTGGCCCTTCAGCTGAAATGCTCCTCTCGAGCTCTGTTCCTAAATATCTATAGACCACCCAAATACTGTGCAAGCTTTTTTGATGATTTTACTGAACTGCTGTCGATAGTGTGTATTGACTTTGACCGTCTAGTCATTGTTGGTGATTTTAACATCCATGTTGACAACCCCCAGGACAGAGGGGCTAAAGAACTGTTTTGTGTTCTTGATAACTATGGACTGACTCAGCATGTGGCGGAGCCCACGCACAATAAGGGGCACACTCTGGACTTAATTATCTCAAAGGGTCTGAATATCTCAAAGGTTGATGTTGCACTGTCTGATCATTCCTGTGTTTTCTTTGAGAGCTCTATTTCTGTTCACAAAAATGTTCAGAAAGAGGTAACCACAAAGCAATATTTAACTGAAAATACTAGGGAAATGTTTACTCATAATTTTTCATCCACACTTGCCCCTGCTAACATCTCAGTAAATGAGCTAGTAGATCATTTTAATTCAAAAATTAAAAATGTTATAGATACCATTGCTCCAACTAAGGTAAAGGAAGTGATTGGCAAGAAAATATCTCCATGGAGAAAGGCCATGACCGTGAGAACAGAAAAAAGAGAGTGTCAAAAAGCTGAACGTAGGTGGCGAAAAACAAATCTCCAGGTTCACTTTGAAATCTATAAAGAGAGACTTGGCCTTTATAATTTGGAATTGAAAAACGCACGACAGTCTTTCTTCTCTGACATCATTACCAAAAATAAAAACAACGCACGTGCCTTGTTTGCTACCGTCGACAGACTAACTAACCCCCCAGTGTCAGTAGCCTCTGAATTTCTATCCACCAGGGCGTGCAATGATTTTGCCTCCTTCTTCACTGACAAAATTCAGAAAATTAGACAAGCAGTCAGTGCCTCTGCATCAGGTACAGCAAATGTGTTGTCCCTATGTCCACCTAATATCAATTCAAACACCATGACACAATTCCATCAGATTAATGGTAAAAACTTAGAGGACATTATTCAACTTCTGAAATCCTCCTCCTGCTGCCTTGATATTATTCCAACAGGATTTTTCAATGATGTTTTTCCTTGCATGGCCTCAGATCTACTTCATATAGTAAACACATCTCTTCACTCAAGTATTTTTCCAGAGGCCCTGAAAACTGCAGTCATTAAACCGCTCTTAAAAAAGAATAATCTAGATGCTTCAGTAATGAACAATTACAGGCCAATATCAAACCTGCCATTTCTAGGTAAAATCATTGAAAAAGTTGTATTTCAACAGTTGAGTAACTTCTTGCATTTAAATAACTGTTTGGATGTGTTCCAGTCAGGATTTCGTCCAAACCACAGCACTGAGACTGCTCTTGTAAAGGTCTTCAATGACATCCACTTAAACACAGACAGTGGCAGAACTTCAGTGTTAGTATTATTAGATCTCAGTGCTGCGTTTGACACTGTTGACCACAACATATTACTAGACCGACTAGAAAACTGGGTGGGACTTTCGGCAACAGTTCTAAATTGGTTTGAGTCCTACTTAAAGGACAGAAAAAACTTTGTTTCTATAGGTAAATATACATCTGAGTTGACAAATATGACATGTGGGGTACCTCAAGGCTCCATCTTGGGGCCTCTTCTCTTTAACATCTACATGCTACCACTGGCTCAGATAATGAAAAACAACAAAATAAGTTACCATAGCTATGCGGATGACACACAAATTTACGTAACAATTTCACCAGGAGATTATGCTCCAATTCAAACACTGAGTAAGTGCATTGAACAAATCAATGACTGGATGTGTCAGAACTTTCTCCAATTAAACAAAGATAAAACTGAGGTAATGGTTTTTGGAGCCAAGGCAGAACGTATAAAAGTTAGCGCTGAGCTTCAGTCTGCAATGTTCAAAACAACAGATAGAGCCAGAAATCTAGGTGTAGTCATGGACTCTGACCTGAGTTTCAACAGTCACATTAAAACAGTTACTAAATCAGCCTACTATCACCTAAAGAACATATCTAGGATTAAAAGACTAATGTCACAGCAGGATTTGGAAAAACTTGTCCATGCTTTTATCTTCAGTAGACTTGACTACTGCAATGGTGTCTTTACAGGTCTCACTAAAAAATCTATTAGAAAGCTGCAGCTAATTCAGAACGCCGCTGCTCGAGTCCTCACTAACACTAAGAAAGTGGATCACATCACTCCTGTTCTGAAGTCCTTACACTGGCTTCCTGTGTGTCAAAGAATAGATTTCAAAATACTGCTGCTGGTTTATAAAGCTTTGAATGGTT